GTGTCCTCTTTTGGAAGGCCAAACAAAGTAGTTTCACTTTCGCAACGAAACACAGTGTCTTCACGACATTGTGGCGGCGGCAACAACAATAAAGTTACGCCTTTTTTCTCTGCGTGAACATTTGGGCGGCGTTATGCAAATCTTCCCACACAGTGACGTAGACATGTGGGGGTGTGTTAGAGCGAGCCGTTTTAGGGGGGCGTGGAACAGTCTTAACTTTTATAAAGAATATCTCTTTGGGCTTGAGACTTTAGTCTTTGCAACTTTAGGGATCTTATCTATTCACAAACAGCTCGTAACACTCCAAAGAGAAAGGAAAACTTGAAATTGCATCATATGACCCCTTTAATTTCAACTTTGTCTCACAATTTCAACTTTTTATTTCATAATTATGACATAGTATGTCAAATTCAACTTTTTATCTCATTATTATGACTTATTATTTGTATGACCTATTATTAGTATCTCATAATTTCAACTTATGTCATAATTATCAATTAAGTCATAATATGATTTACCAAAAAAAATATTTTTTTCTTTTGTGGCAGAAATGGGCTTCCAAAAATATAAATTGCTTATTTTTGGATTCACAGAAAATATATATATTTTACCTCAACACCTGCACAAGCAATTCCCAGTACTTGTTGCACAAAACATCCTAGTACTTGTTGTCTCAAATGATCCTTTCATGCATGTACAGTTCATCCAGACAATTAATTATTTCAGTGTATTGTTGGCTTCCTCCTGACTAAACTTGCATTGTTTATTAAGAAATCGCCTGAAAATAACACCACACATACACAAGAGAAGACTAAGACATTCACTCACAATGTTTCCTGTGCACTTCTCAAAGAAATATCAAGAGAAACAGATAAAAGAGAATAGATGATGTTAAACCCCCCCCCCCCCCCCCCCCCCCCCCCCCCCCCCCCCCCCCCCCCTCCTGAACTCTCACTAGCACTCCCAGAGGGAGGGTTCACACAGCTCCCAGACAGAGACAAGATGAAAGACTGCCTGTCTCCGCTTTGAACAGGGAATGTATACTGACTTCATCTTCCACAGCCAACAACAGAGTCCTGATTTAAAGAAAATATGGCCTGGAATATATCATATGCTTGGAAAAGAGCACACATTTGAAACAGACCAAACTAAGTCTCAGATAAAAGTCTGTGTCTAGATCTGACGCTGGCTGTTCATAGATGGGTTCACACTGAGGTTGAGGGAAAACAAGGCAAAAAATAAGTTATAAACACATTAAATGAAAATGATAAATTGTGTATAGAGACATCTAGTGGACATGAAAGACTAAAAGGTAAATGATCTATCACTGATACACAGATGAACAAACTGACGATCAAACTGACACTTCCTGTCCATCAGACTTTCCACAGAAATATTACATTTCTTATGGGATTTCTGTACAATAATATTTGCATTGGTTTTGTAATATGCGCTATAAAGTGGCACAACAAATTTGGACCATGGTGTTTTGGAAATAAAGATTCTTATCTACTGTATTTACAATACTTACGTGTCTCTAAAATATTCTTGTGTCCTTTTTTAGTTGATGAACAATCAGACGGTAGCTCACAACAAAAGATTGCCTGTTGGTCTTGTGTATGACTATGTCAAATCTACAGATTACCCCATAAAACTGCTCGTTCCAGGACTCACCGCATCAAACTGGAAGAAAAAGTCATCCGGCTTGCTCTCCACTGCATCGGTGTCTACCTTCACTTCCACCATTGGGTTGAGTAACTGAGCTCTCTCCAGAGAGGCCTGGGCCTGGTTCTGACCATCTGCATCCACAGGGATCAGGAACTGAGCACGTCTAGACTCCTCTGTCACCTGAAACCAAATAACACTTAGTTATGTACCTGTTAAGTTGCTGTTATCAGTGGTAAATTAAAGGAATAATTCACCTGAAAATCTATACAATCTTATGTCATTCCAAACCTGTAATGTCTTCAGTGGAACACATGTTAAAGGTCTAGGGTCTGACAGCCTCAGTCACCATTCAATTTCATTGCTTTTCCATCCAATTAAAAAGCATGCTGACTCGACTGTAATTCTACCATACACCTCCTTTGACGTTCCACAGAAAAAAAAGTCAGGTTTGGAAGAACATGAAGGACATTAACAAATGATGAAACACTGAGGTGAACTACTTCTTTAAGTCAGTCTATATATGATACCTGCTCATGGTCCAGGAGAGTCAGTCCTTTGACCCCAGCCAAAATAAGGTTCTTTGCTACTTCTGCACCAAGACCCCGGAGACCAACAAGAAGTACCCGTGATCCCCTAAGTCTGAATATGTTAAATACATATGCATGTCGTTAATTATGTTACATTATATTTCTTATTATTTATGCACACCTAGTCTAAAAATGTATTCGTGGAGTGACTCTTATACACCATTTTTATTTCAGACAAAAAGCATGCATGTGAAAGATACTCAAATAACGCATTTGAAATCATACTTAAAAGGTTTATGTATTATTTTTAAACAATTAGCCAAAAATTCCTTAAATTAATAGGAGTACAGTTGTTCTTTGTGTACGAAACTGTTATCAACAAACCTCTTTTGAGCATCGAGACCCCAAAGGCGAATCTGTCGATCATATTGTGCAGCCTCCTCCTCGCTGATAATATTGTCTTCTTTTTCGATGGTATCAATCATTTCTAAATATTTCCGATTTTAATAATATCCTGTAACGAATTAACCGAGAGGTTAGTGTGTCTATTCTACGCTGTTTTTTTTCTACTGCCCATTCAATGGGAAAGAAATGCCGCTTTGTGATTCTCGTTCAGGCGCGCAATGATGACGTATGAGTGGTGGGAAAGCGCCAGATTCAGAGCACGTTCCAATCTGGATACCGCTTTCTACCTCCAGCTACTCTAAACCTTTCAAATCCATCAACTCCTAGTCTATATATTTTTTAAGTCTTATAATGTATATTTGTATAATTTAAGGATTGTTTACTGTGTATATCTCACCCTTGTTTCTAATAACTAACTATATTATTTATAACTAACTAAAAAAATAGAAAAGAGTATGGTTGCTAACGTTATAAGTCAATTATGACTTAGTTTATGTACCATAATTGGAAATGCGGCCGTTCTGTTATAATCCAATTACATATAAACTGAACATAAGAATTAAAAATTCAAATAATAAAGTGTCTTTATTTTTAAACATTGTCAACGAACCTCAAAGTCAGTATAATAAGATCATACTATCTTGATTTTCGTTTAAAACATAATTTAGCAGTGTAATCTGCAAAATAGTTTATCCATAGTCTTAACCATACAGGGGGGTATGTTTCTTGAAATGTACACCACAGTTTACGTAATTAAATTATTGTTTACTTGGTACATGGTCACAAAATACAATATTAAATAGTCTATACAAAACTATTTCAGGAAGAGTGAATGTCACAGCGTAAATAACTAAATAATTCCTAAAGCAGAATTGCAGTGTTGCTGCTGTTTACGTCCATTTAAAATAGTGGTTCTCAAACAGGGGGCATGAGCAAACTTCCAAAGGGGTCCCAGAATGACTTAAAATAGTTTATATTATTATTTTTATAATTTACATTAATAATATTATTAATATGTTAAAACTTAAATGCTATATAAAAATGCAATCTTTTTTCCCATTGAAGATCATACAGAGCTCGAAACTTCTGGAATCCCAATATGAATTGTGGATAATTAATAACATTTATTATACACATACAGGGCCTACACCTCCTTTGACGTTCCACAGAAAAAAAAGTCAGGTTTGGAAGAACATGAAGGACATTAACAAATGATGAAACACTGAGGTGAACTACTTCTTTAAGTCAGTCTATATATGATACCTGCTCATGGTCCAGGAGAGTCAGTCCTTTGACCCCAGCCAAAATAAGGTTCTTTGCTACTTCTGCACCAAGACCCCGGAGACCAACAAGAAGTACCCGTGATCCCCTAAGTCTGAATATGTTAAATACATATGCATGTCGTTAATTATGTTACATTATATTTCTTATTATTTATGCACACCTAGTCTAAAAATGTATTCGTGGAGTGACTCTTATACACCATTTTTATTTCAGACAAAAAGCATGCATGTGAAAGATACTCAAATAACGCATTTGAAATCATACTTAAAAGGTTTATGTATTATTTTTAAACAATTAGCCAAAAATTCCTTAAATTAATAGGAGTACAGTTGTTCTTTGTGTACGAAACTGTTATCAACAAACCTCTTTTGAGCATCGAGACCCCAAAGGCGAATCTGTCGATCATATTGTGCAGCCTCCTCCTCGCTGATAATATTGTCTTCTTTTTCGATGGTATCAATCATTTCTAAATATTTCCGATTTTAATAATATCCTGTAACGAATTAACCGAGAGGTTAGTGTGTCTATTCTACGCTGTTTTTTTTCTACTGCCCATTCAATGGGAAAGAAATGCCGCTTTGTGATTCTCGTTCAGGCGCGCAATGATGACGTATGAGTGGTGGGAAAGCGCCAGATTCAGAGCACGTTCCAATCTGGATACCGCTTTCTACCTCCAGCTACTCTAAACCTTTCAAATCCATCAACTCCTAGTCTATATATTTTTTAAGTCTTATAATGTATATTTGTATAATTTAAGGATTGTTTACTGTGTATATCTCACCCTTGTTTCTAATAACTAACTACATTATTTATAACTAACTAAAAAATAGAAAAGAGTATGGTTGCTAACGTTATAAGTCAATTATGACTTAGTTTATGTACCATAATTGGAAATGCGGCCGTTCTGTTATAATCCAATTACATATAAACTGAACATAAGAATTAAAAATTCAAATAATAAAGTGTCTTTATTTTTAAACATTGTCAACGAACCTCAAAGTCAGTATAATAAGATCATACTATCTTGATTTTCGTTTAAAACATAATTTAGCAGTGTAATCTGCAAAATAGTTTATCCATAGTCTTAACCATACAGGGGGGTATGTTTATTGAAATGTGCACCACAGTTTACGTAATTAAATTATTGTTTACTTGGTACATGGTCACAAAATACAATATTAAATAGTCTATACAAAACTATTTGAGGAAGAGTGAATGTCACAGCGTAAATAACTAAATAATTCCTAAAGCAGAATTGCAGTGTTGCTGCTGTTTACGTCCATTTAAAATAGTGGTTCTCAAACAGGGGGCATGAGCAAACTTCCAAAGGGGTCCCAGAATGACTTAAAATAGTTTATATTATTATTTTTATAATTTACATTAATAATATTATTAATATGTTAAAACTTAAATGCTATATAAAAATGCAATCTTTTTTCCCATTGAAGATCATACAGAGCTCGAAACTTCTGGAATCCCAATATGAATTGTGGATAATTAATAACATTTATTATACACATACAGGGCCTTCGATTAAAAAAATAGCGTATTTGTTCTTCGTGACCCGATCGGTCATTTCCGTGACAAGCGACGTCACGTCGCATAAGCCCGCCCCTTCTCCTCGGAGAAGAAGCGTCGCCATTTTAAGTGACTGAGTTTCATTTCACATCGCAACTGTAGGACGGAGAACCTCAGGAACGTTTTCAACCTGTTTCTCTTTTAAACTGTTAGTGGGGAATTGACTACTATGAACTGAATCTCTTCCTAAAGCCAATCAACAAGTAGATCAAAGTCAAGTAACGCATAAGACAGTTGATTTTTTGCACTGAATGTAGTACGTTAGAGGAAATGGCTGTGGAAAGCATGACTGTCCATCCAAACTCCCCAACAGCCAACCACGAACACAACAGTCTTCTCACTGACGAAAGGTCGAGTAATATCATATTTCTATCCAACTATTGATTTGTCCTTTGCTTTTTTTCCAAAAACAAAAAGCACGGGCATTTGCTTTTTTTCTTTCAAAGGGATTAAAGTCGCCTTTTCTGGGAACGTACAGAGGTAACGAAACGCCATCTTGAAACGTTACACAGCGCAATCTGGAAGGTCATAAACGAATCAGGAAAACATTCAGAATATGATCAAATTTACATTTTCAGTCACTTTTCGAAGCTTTTTAAGCGATCGAAGACCAAGGGGCCACCACTACGCCAAAACATTGCTCCAGCAACTCAATGTTTTCATCACAGATACAGAACAGACGGACAAAAGAAAAACACGGTTTTGGTTATTAACACAAAATTAAAATTCGACTTAAGCGCACTGTATGTAATGTGGCGGATAAATGGTAAAATACATCCCCGGTAACGCATTAAGGAATTTGTATCTTTAACCACCGCGAGGCCTGGACAACGCTAAAGCTAGCAGTGCTAACAGTTAGCACACGACTTACAATTGAAATACAACAATAACACGGCTAACGGAAGCTAATGAAAAGCGACGGACTAGCATGGTTTAAAACGTGTCCGCTTGATTAATCATCCTTTTATTTAATTTAATTTGTCATCGAATATTGTACGATTCAGTTTATCTTTACGGTATAGCATTATTTACACTAGGCGATGTTAATTTGTTACTGTTTAGCACTTGGCATGTATGTAAAGTTAAGTGCCACGAGCTACGCACTTAGATTTATTGGGGACATCATTAAAATATCTTAAATGTATATGCTTATTTCTTTAGGGTTTTGCATGTTTGCGTTTGTATTTTAAAGTTAATGTACACTCTCATACCGCTATATTTCCAAATAGTACGTTCTTGGAGTTTACGGTTAGTTTTCAAATATTTATGTTTTTCGTAAAGCTGTAATGAAATCACATTTTTAACGTCTCATTAATTTAGCTTGCGAAATTTCATTAACAGTACGAGATTTTGATGATACGAACTAATAATGGAAATTATTTATTCCCATTTCTTAAAGCTGTTTTGGCTTATTGCTGCTCCTCAAGTCCTCCACGTCAATTCATTTGTTGACAGTAGAAAAAAAACTATTATCGCTTATTGATGATTTGTTACACGTTCCACTACAGGTTTCCCTGTATTTTCATATTCTAGTTTTGTTGTGAACTAGTTAGCTTTGTGTGCACATACATCCCTCATGAACCAGTACTTTCTCCAATGTCTCAAAAGCATTCAAGGTCTTACCAAAACATGAAGCAAAACACAAAGGTGTTTAACCATGCCACCATTGTCTGCAAATGCCCAAAATGCAACCTCTCACCTCCCTTGAAAGTCATTTATGCATAAATTAGTATTTCACAGTAAGTATTTTCAGTTCAATACCAGAAATTTAAAGGCCAACATTTTGTCTTTGCATTAAATGTGCCTTATTACTTGGATGCTTACAGTAAAAAAAAAAAAAGGTACATTTTTTGAACAAGAGGTAGTTGTCAATCTGTCTATCTGCCAACACAATCTATTCTTGTTAGCAGTTGTCAGTTTTCCCAAGGCGCATTATTATTTTAGCAAATAATACAAGTGTGACCTGGTCTGTGTCTGACCATGTTTATTTTCTATAACTTGCAGGAGTGAAAGGTTATGCATGCAGTTGAAGTTGTTGTTAAAAACCTTTAGGTCTCTTCACCGTCTCTTAGATAACCGCTAAAGTTTGTAGATTTTTATTCACAATTCATGTGGTCGAGTCTTTTTGGCAAATAGAGACTAAGGGATTTGTAGTTAATGCAGTTATAATTCATGAATTGATTCCCTCTGTAGTACGTTTAGGACTGAACTAACTGTCCAGAGAAGCAGATGACATGAGTTTAACGTCATTAAATGAAAGATCAGATTTACACAGTCAGTTGAAACATAAGTTTGTATATTTATTGTAATTGTAAATAGGGTTGCAAAGGGGTGGAACATTTCCGTAAAATTTCCAAAAATCCCTGGAATATTCCCAAAAATCCTGGAAAGTTTCCAACATTTCTGGAATATTTCCGTAATTTACTGTAAATTTTCCACCTTTTTGCAACCCTAATTGTAAAACGTTTTGGAAGAATCTTGAAAAATATCCACATAAGTTGAAGATTTAAATTGAAGTAAAATGAGTTTTGTCTTCCAGTTAAGTTCATAGAAATGGGTGGATTAAGACCCTCATGCAGACTTTAGACTGTTTGTAACATGTCTAGGTGTATTCAATTGTCATCACTTGATTGCTTTTTTTGTACTAGTTAAAGAGACTGGGATACATAAGAATTATGCAGATGTTTCAGCTAATTTACCTTCTGTGGTAATAATTTGGCTTGTATTGTTTGAATTATTTCTCACCCACAGCTTTGCATTGCAGTTCATCTGGTAGCACATGTGCTCTTGTCAGAAGTTGCATTGCACATAACTGTTGTTTTTATAGGCCAAAGTTGAGGGGTTAGGTGATAATGTTTTGTCAGTGCTTCTTTGTCTTATGTGGCATCTCCTTATCGCTGGATAGGAGTTTTAAAGGGCTGTCCTGCCTGAATGTAATGTTTATCCTGTATATACGCATTAGATCTCCTATAAACAAAGTGGCTTTGAGTTGTTCTCAGCAGGGCACAAATGAGCAGTGAACATTTGACACCCTTAGTATGATGACTGAAGCAACTAAATTAAACTGTTGCATCTGTAGATTGGCAGCCCTGTTTATAAAAGAGATCTGTCTCTTGCCCTTCATCTCTACCCTCACTGTCTATAGTTTGAAGATCAGTTTTAGACATCTGAATTTTCTTAGTTATCTACAATGTAATGACATGTGAATTGTTAATAGCCCAACCAGCGGAAATCGTCTTGTCAGAATTAAGAATGAAGGCCCACTTAAAAAGCAATTAATAGATTGAATGTTCTGTTCTGCACAGTTTATGACAACAGTATTCTTTTTTTAAATTAGCCAGTTATCATAGACTAGAAGCAAATAAGAGTTCTCCAATGGCAGTGAGTCAAAAAAAAAAAAAAGAAGTAATTTCCTGTGTAATCCTGTTCTGAGTTGTGACATTCATTTTGTATTTTGTCAAACAGGCAAGAAGATGGGGAACTGGAAGAAGGCGAGCTGGAGGATGACGGTGGAGAGGCAGAGATGCCCAGTGGTGAGGGAGCTGATCCCCAGGATAAACCTCGCCGAAGCAAGGAGCACCATGCCAGTGAATCAGATGATGAAAAGTCTCATCGGCGGAAGAGAAAGAGAAAGAGGGAGAGAGAGCGTGAAAAAGAAAAAAGGAGGGCCAAGAAAAAGCGTAAATCTAAGCACAAGGTAAGTGTTTTTGTTAATATGTTTTTATAAAAGTCTCTTATGCTCACCAGGGCTGCTTTTATTTGATCAAAATACAGTAAAAACAGTTCATATTGTGAAATATTACTACAATAACACTTTCTATTTTAATATATTTTGAAATGTAATTTATTCCTGTGATGGTTAAGCTGAATTTAAGCAGCCATTCCTCCATTTTTCAGTGTCACATGATCCTTTAGAAATCATTCTAATATGATAATTTGCTGCTCAAGAAACATTTCTTATTATTATTAATGTCAAAAACAGTTGCTGATTAATGTTTATGTGGAAACTGATTCATTTTTTTCATCAGGATTTTTTGATTAATAAAATGTTCAAAAGAGTAGCGTTTATTTAAAATAAAAATATTTTGTAACACTATAAATGTCTTTACTGTCACATTTGATCAATTTAATGTGTCCTAGCTGAATAAAAGTATTATTTCTTTTGAAAAAATCCTACTGACCACAAACCTTTGAATGATTGTGTATATCATCTTCTGAAATATCTTTGTGTGTAATGCAGCGTCACGCATCCTCCAGCGATGACCACTCGGACTACAGTGATGAATCAGATTACAGTCCCAGTGAAAAGAGAAAATACAGGGAATACAGCCCTCAGTATCCTCCCACTGTGAGTAAAACATTATTTTTGTTCAGGTCTTGATTTATTTAAAGTAACACTCATAACACAACAACTTCCTTTACTGGCCAGCCAATCAGGGGCGCGTTTCCCAAAAGTATCGTTAGCTAACTATGGTCGTTAGTTCCATTGAACTCCATTGGTAACGACGGAATTTGTGATCATAGT